CGGCAGATTTTTTTGATAGTTCGTCATTATGATTTATTTATATTTCTTTAGTAAGATACTATCTTATTATTTTTTTCATAGAGAATGCTAGGTCAAGTGTCTATTTTAGGCATACTATCTTACATTTATATATTTCTGTTTTATTTATTTTGTCACTGATTATTATACATATGTATTATTTTTTCAGGGATGTTTATTTCCTTGGCTTTGGTTTCCTTGGTAACCATATTCACGTGATTATGGTTGAGAGGATACCAATCATTATGGGTGGCCAGCCATCACTTTCAGGTGTTTCTCATGAGTCTTGTTTTTGGGTAAATAAGGGTGTCTCTAACTCTTTTACAACAGGCTCCCTTGATAAAGGCATCTTTTTTGGCCTAAACCTTGGGGGCTTGCTGGCTGATTTTTATTCCCTCTTCTCACTAGGTCTGGTATGCATTTGTTTCTCCTTTATATATTTATTGGTGGGTTGTTATGATTTGGTAGAACAGGGAACAGCAAATACAGGGTGCGCTAAGTGGAACAAATGAGAGATAATATTCACAGAAAGAGGGAAGAGCAACAAAAAAAGTCTCTGAAAATGCAATGTGGACCTTGGATAGATATTCTTTGGTTCTTGATTTGGGTCCTCAGTAGTTAATATGAAAAACAAAAGCAGAAACAGGGAGGGTCAAATAGTGCAAAACCGTTAGGAGATGGTGTCATGGACAACATAGAAATAGAGAAGTGCCAACTAACAATATACAGAGCTATGCCCAGCTCTAAGTAAAACGGCATACAGTGGTATTTGAAACTCCCCACATGTAGGATATAGCTGGACAATAGGAGGTGTTTCTTCAATACTTCTTACAATGTCTCAGATACGTGTCCGCATATAAAATACATAAAAATAAGGGAAAAACCCAATGGTGCAATCACGTATGACACCTACAGCTACAAACAAACACTGAGGTCCTAAGAGTGCCAACTTACAATTGAGAGAGCTATAACCAGCTCTGAGTAAAACAACATACAGTGGTATTTAAACTCCCCACATGTAGGATATCCTTCTAGCGATATTTGTAATACAGGACTTATGAGAGAAAAAAAGCACAAAAGAGGGCCCATAGTGTTCTCAGTAGATAAAATAGAAGTAAAAGGTAAAACGAAACCTACTTACAATGTATAGAGCAGCCACACTGCTCTATGAACCAGGCGTGAGTGGAATAATCCCCACCTAGGATTTCTTTTGTAGTACTGGATCTTTTAGAGTAATAAAAAATCAGCCAGGATAAAACAGCATAAAAGTAAGTGGAATAACCACAGAAAGATAGGTAGCCTAAAAATACTTATATTTTAACAAAATCATTAAAACACAATGCGTTTTGCCAAAAATTGGCTTTTTCAAGTATTATCTCTCATTTGTTCCACTTAGTGCACCCTGTATTTGCTGTTCCCTGTTCTCCCAGATTTGTTGAAGGGTTTGAGGGTTGCCCTTCCCCTCAGGTGTGCAGCTCCATCCACCCCTGTGATTAGTACTGTAGCGCTGTTCCACCCCAATTTTTTCTGTTACTGTTATGTTTGGTATTTCGACTACTCATTTATCACATTGGTATTCAGGAATCTGTTTACCATATATTCTGCTTTAATGTAATTATAGAACTTCTGGCAATTTCTCTGTACCATTTGTATGGAATTTTTGTTTTGATTTATTAATATGCATTGTGAGATATCTATTTTCTGTGGACCTATCTAATAAAATTTTGTTTATATTTCCGGTTGTGCTCCTTGATTGAATTGTATCTGTAATTTTTTTTTTGGTCCTTTGGAAATAGGACCTTGTTTGAGTGAGCACCCAGTTTCATTAGTGTGTGTCATTGAGTTTGCCTCTAATGAGATTGTTTGTGTCTGTGAGTTTGTATATGGTAAGCTTGTATGTGTCAGTGAGCCTGTCTGTAGTAAGATTTTGTGTCAGGAAGCTTGTGTGTAGTGAGTTTTTGTGAGTGAGTTTAGCTGTAGTGTGCTTTTTGTGTATGTGTCAATGAGCATTTGTGGGTCAGAGAGCTTCTGTGTGTTCCATTCAGTTTGTCTGTAGTCAACTTGTGTGTGTAAGAGAGCTTGTCTGCAGTACATTTGTGTGTGTGTGCCATGGAGTTTGTGTTATTTATTCATGTGGAACATGTATACTGATGTCCGCATGAGCATGGAGGATTGCCTTGCTTAGGGAAGTGTCCCTAATCAGGGACAATAACAACAGCCTGGAGGCGGTTTGTTACAGCACTGTAGCACTCATGGATTGTCTAGAGCGAGAGGCTGCAGTTATGTAACAATATAACAGAATCCAACATACATAAATATATAATTATCACTATGATAAATATATATCATATATTTAGTGCCTTGAGAGACATTCACTGACGGGGACACACACACACACACACCATGTGTACGGCTGGAATTTTAATTTTTTTTCCAGGGCTGCTTTGTATTCCCAGTCTGGCCCTGGACCTAGGCTTCTATTTGACCACATTTCCTCTCTATGTTAAATCTGACCACTAATGACTGGTAATACGTTTATTTCAGTCCACTCTGTTACTGCTATCCTAGACTGCCTTATACCGCGTGAGACTACCCTCTGCCAGTTACCCAGAGATTGCGACCCCTGCCGGCTACTTGTGCTGGCCCTTGGGTCAGGAGTGTCTGGCTGCTGTCTTGTCAAGGGTTAAACCATATTCTAACAGTTTAATGCTGAAGTTGGTCCCCCAGCAGTTGTTCTGCCTCTTCCCTTCCTTTTCTGGCCATTGCAGTGATTAGGAGGGTTTGTCTTCAGAGGGGGAACTACCACCAAGCAACTGGTGCAACTGTACGCTGCTGGGGCCCATCGGGTCTCCCTCACACTTCCTGTGGGGAGCATTATTAGGATAAAAAAAAGAAAAAGGACTGAGAGCAAGGAGCAGACTCCAGTCAGCCTCAGCCAGCAGTGTCCCTGGACCTCAGGGAAACCACCTAAAATGTATGAAAACAGGAGGGTGGCTAAAATTATGGAAATAATATATTGTGGAGCCTGGTGTTCAGTTGCCATATTTACCATCTACCACTGGGAAGGGGTGTATATTATACTGCTTTCCAGGTGTACACCCTGCAGAGATGCCAATCACACTGCTTACCTGAGTCTTTGTCTACAAAGCTCCCATAGATTGATCTGACTTGCCTGCTTCTTCCCCCCTGCTGCTGAAATTTGGTTATTTCAGCTATCATCTCTGTAATAATTGCCATATGCTACCAGATGTTCTTTCAACCTGTTAGTGAACTCACTTTGCATTTTGGGTCTGATCACTTGTTCTCCATATACAGCTACTGCTGTCCCTTTCAAGAGAAGAGGTATCCCAGCACTTGTCAGTTGAAATGAGCACAGGGGGCCTGATCTAAGGCTTGACAACACCACCTGAGCATGCCGCATCATTCTCTACTTCCTGTCTGCAATGACTATGAAGCAACCTCCATGAGTTGTTCTGATAGCTCCATTCTTGTCCTACAACCCTCAGCCAATCACCTGAATAGCTGTTTAATATATGTCCTCCAAACACCAGACAAGACTGTGTATTACTACAACAGATTTGAAACATTGCAAACCTAAGGTACATAAGCACAGTCTTCTCTTTGATATTATAAACTGATTAAACCCCTTTGTTTTCTTTTGGATCAACAGCAAAAAGAAGTGTCAGAAAGGTTGAACTCTATGCACTTATGTCTCTTCAGCTATGTAACCTGCCCAATATTGTCCCCCTCGTGCTGCCAAAATAGCACTGATGCATTGAGGCATGGACTCCACAAGAACGCAGAATATTTTTGTGGTACCAAGACATTAGCAGCAGCTCCATTAAATCCTACAAGTTGCGAAGTGGTGCCAACATGGATCAGATTTGTTGTTCCAGTACATCCCACAGATGCTCAACCGTATTGATATCTGGAGAGTTTGGAGACAAAAGCAACACCCTAAACTCATGTTCCTCAAACCATTCCTGAACAATTTTTGCAGTGTCACAGATTTCATTATCTTGCTGAAAGAGGCTATTGCCATCAGGGAACACCAGTGCCATGAAGGGGTGTACATAGTCTGCAACAATCTCAAAATTATCGGTACGAGTTAAAGTAATATCCAGACGAATGCCAGGACTTAAGGTTGCCCAGAGCATAACATTGCCTCTGATGGCCTGACATGTTACCATAGTGCATCTTAATATAAAAGAAAACAGGATTCATCAGACCAAACAACCTTCTTCCATTGCTCCATGATCCAGTTCTGTTCTCAACATTCCCATTGAATGTGCTTTTGGTGAGAGGTCATTATGGGCATTCTGACTAGTCTGCAGCTACACAGCAAACAGCCTTTAACCCCTTAAGGACACATGACGGAAATATTCAGACAGGATCCCCATTTATTCCAGAAGTTGTGTCCTTAAGGGGTTAATGAGCGTTGGGCGCCATGATCCCGACACCAGTCCGCCTGTTGCACCACTTTTGGTAGGTACTAACTACTGCATACCAGGAACAGCCACAAGACTTGCTATTTTAGAGATGCTGACTCAAATGGTCAAGTTATCCGATTTAACGATGCATTTTTTAACCTTAGAAGTGTATATGTGGTTATACTCTTGACATGTTGCTCAAAAAAAAAAAAAAAAAAGGCAATATTCAAGGATCAGAGGGCATACACCTGCCCTCTAAATGACAAGGACACTATAATAAAATGTCTGCACTTGGAATTTAGTGCCTTTTATAATCAATCACGTCTGTTACACTTCTCACTCCAGTTAAAACATGCAATGAAAATGGTGATAAGATCTGTGTCTAACGTTTTAAAATGAGGACATCCAGGATTACACGTTAAATGCAATAGAGCTGTAGTAACACCTAAAGTCAATATTTTCCCACATATTGTTTAAATGGTTATAAAACTTATTTACCCCAGAATACACACAAAAAAAGATTATTCTCAGAACTCCCGCAAAATACTAGCACTCAATTATAACACTGTACACGGCATGTGTAATTTCCAAACTTAAAAGAAAGGTTCAAGTCAAAAACTCAGGAAAACAACATTTTATTTATGAGACCTCTATGCACGAGGGCAATTTACAGCATTAAATACATTAGCTTGATCCTCTGATTAAACTTGGGCCCAAACATTAGACTGGTCCAGATAATTTAAGGTCCACAAATTTAGTGCTCTGATTCTTCATAACCATCTGGAAGGGCATTAACATGTGCATTGTGAAATAAAGAATGGTTGCCATCACCCCATGGAAATTTCTGTTAAGACAAAATACAGGCATATAAATTAAAGCAGAGCTAAATTACACAAGTAAGAATTTTCAGGGCACATCTTAAGCAAAAACAGCAATTTGAGAGCTGTGTGTTTTTTTAAAATATGTATCATAAATTATAACTCATGAAAAAGGGAGAGGGGAAAAACAAAAAAGGGCATATATAAAGCATAAAGACTTCCTGACATCCTTATAAAAAAATATATGCATTCAGCTCAGCCACTAACAGTACTGATTAATCTGAACCACACAAGAAACTGAATTAGAAGGTGACACACAAGGAGACGTACAGTGAGGACATTACTATTTGTTTACAGTTTCTCTGCTTACAGCCAGGTTGTGAATTAAACACAGCTCATTCATGGGTGTCGGGGCAGGCTAATGGTGCAAAACCCACATTTTGTATAAAAAAATAATAAATAAAAGTGAGCAAGCTAAATACATTTAAAAATAAGTAAGGCACATGAATAAGGCCAAAATATATCAAATACATTAAACATTTATTGGTGCCCATAGTGTCCCATCAATATCAGAAATTGTGTTACCAACAAAGTTGCAGGATATCATAAATGTTGCAAAATCCCATCATTAAAAGGGAAACTATAGTGCCAGGAAAACAAACATTTTCTGGCAATGTAGCTTCTTCGTCCTATGGGTTTTGGGTCACACTGAATATTGCTCATGCGTCAGGTGACAAAACGTCTCCTAACAGCCCAGAAGTCCCTCAAGTTGAGTGGAGTTAAAGGACCACTATAGTGCCAGGAAAACATACTCGTTTTCCTGGCACTATAGTGCCCTGAGGGTGCCCCCACCCTCAGGGACCCCCTCCCGCCCGGCTCTGGAAAGGGGAAAAGGGGTAAAACTTACCTTTTTCCAGCGCTGGGCGGGGAGCTCTCTCCTCCGTTCCTCCCCGTCGGCTGAATGCATACGCGCGGCAAGAGCTGCGCGCACATTCAGCGGGTCGCATAGGAAAGCATTATCAATGCTTTCCTATGGACGCTTGCGTGCTCCCACTGTGATTGTCATAGTGAGAAGCACGCAAGTGCCTCTAGCGGCTGTCAATGAGACAGCCGCTAGAGGCTTTTGGGGAAGGCTTAACCCATTCTCTGAAACTGCTATGTTTATAAAAAATTAAAAAAATGGGTTAACCCTAGCTGGACCTGGCACCCAGACCACTTCATTAAGATGAAGTGGTCTGGGTGCCTAGAGTGGTCCTTTAACCCTAGCAGGTAATTATTACAGTTTCCTAAAAACTGCAATAATTACCTGCTCTGGGTCAAGCTTCTTGAAAGTCTTGTCTTAACCCGTATGTCTCACTTCCTCAATTCCAACTCTCTCCTTGACCCTCTCCACTCTACTGAGACTGTTCTTAACATTACTAACAACCTAATCACAAAGGGCACCACTCCATATTAATTCTTCTTGACCTCTCTGCTGCCTTTGACACAGTTGATCATGCTCTCCAAACTCTTCAATCACTCGGTCTCTGACTGTCCTCTCGTGGTTTTCCGCTTATCTCTCCCAATGCTCAATCAGCGTCTCCTTTTCTAAAGATACCTCCTCCTGTCTCGGTTGGAGTCCCCCCAAGGCTCTGTCCTTGGTGCCCTTCTATTTTCTCTTTATACTGCCTCTCTTGGCAAACTTATTACCTCCTTTGGCTGCTCTTATCGTTTGCAAACTGGCACAGAATTCTCTCAACTCTCCTAACCACCCCCCCCTAGGACTGGTGGGGGATATCCCAGTCCTCGCTGGGCGTCTGGAGCAACCTGTCTGGATCAAACGCCAAGCGTTGCCCCACGAGAGAGACACACACAAAAGACGGCGGCTGAACGCTCTCCACATAATCGGAACAAGCTCCCACATCACTCATACCGTCACAATAACACCACTGATGATATGCAACGTCTAGACAAATTGTTCAGTAACTTTTAGGAGAGGCTTCAGTAGGCAGCCCAGACCGAGCAGCAAAACTCCCAGGAAGCATGTGAGAAGTGTCGCACCCACCAACACTCACCCTAGCTGAAGGCCAAGAAGGTCTTGACCTGACAGCATCGCCCACACGCTGCAGCCAACCACCAGGCCTCCCGCCACTCTTGGCCAAGAGATGCAGGCCTACACACCAGCCTGGGGCTGGAGGGACACCCTCACAGCTACCCCCTGCGATCAACCTGCGGGCTTCAGATGTCTTCCGACAAAGGGAATCGGATAAGAGAGATGGCCACTTACAGACTCTCATGACCTGAACACTCTACACTGTGCATGAAACTCAGCCATAATGCCTCATAACCATACCACTTCAAGTCTGGTGTGTTTTTCTTTCTTCCCTAAAGCTCCGGACCACTGTGACTAGCAATCTCTAGAGTAGCCAGTTATGTTTTGCATGTATGACCTGCACCCGATAAGCCAGATTCATAGCATTTACACACAAGGCATGTCTAACCCTGCTTATTTCTATCAGTTCATAATGTACAGCTAAGTAGAGAACTAGACTACTGATATCAACATGTTCAATTATATTTATCCTTTCTAGCATTAATCGACATAGCGATCGCATTGTCCTTACTATTATAAAATTGTGCATGTCTCTACAAGTATCCCAATTGTACTATATGATGATAAGACTGAGGGTTGCAGTCGGGGCACCTCAAGCCTGTATGTAGTGTTCCTATGCACTGCAAAAATACAAAATAATCATAATAATAAAGTGTGATTGAGATGGCAAGCTGTGGGCTGCTGGCTCACCTTGGAGCGGATCCTCAGGTGATCATAATGGACAAACTCAGGGTGCTCGCTGGGGTGCTGCTGAGCCTTCAGGTAGGCGTTGAGCATGCAGACAGCCACCCCGGGCAGGGCCACCACGAAGGTCAGGATCTTCCATGTCCGAGCTGTGGGGGGGGAGAGAGAGAGAGAGAAGTCAGCCCGGCTGGCATTGCGGTTCACACCCCGCCAGAGCCCGCAGTGACCTTCCCCGGCGGCGGAGCGCACACAGCCTGCCCTGCGGGTGAAGGTGACCCCGGGAACAGCCTGTCTGAGCCCCGCCTCGGTACCCCCGCCGCACCTGCATTGCCGTGATCGTGTTCTGCTGCAGCTGCTGAAAACAGGCGGCCGCGGGCCTGCACGGTACGGCCAAGGATCCCGGAGAGTCTACCCAGCGCTGCCATCACGACCGTGAAACTGAAAGGAACCGGATGTGACGGCGTTTAACCACAGGAAGTGGGCGGAAGCGCAGTGAGGGCGGACGTGCAGGACGCGTCGTTCCACGCACGCGCAACTCATGCCCCACTATGACACTGCGCGTGGCCAGTGTTATGCTTACTGCGCATGCGGGAAGAGCGCGAGGGAGGCGGCGGCGTGCACGCGGTGACTGGAAGTGACGCACACTCTCTATGGAGACACACACTGGTGAGTGAGCGCGGGAAAAGCATGCTGGCAGCAGGGAGCTCGCATGCATTGCGCAGGTCACAATGAAAGAAACTGTGCAAGACAGGGGGTGTAACTGGAGTCATATAATACTGTTACAATGGGGGAGAATAATATTAAATTAATATTACAATAGTGTTACAATTTAAAATAATTGTAAAAACTCCCTGTCACATTATATGGCTAGAGATTGAGTACTTCCATTTTAGAAGCTTAATGTACAGAGCATTACTTACTACTAATAGGGCTATCATTATAAACCACGGTAAGGGGGCCAGTGATTCATGGTTTTCATCTTTTACAGTTCCAAAATGATGATGATAACGCATATTATCCTAAAAGGACATTTTGTTTATTTTATTACATTGCTCCCAACATTGGAAAGTATAATCTAGAGTTGGGTTGCGGGCCACCGAAGATGCAGGTCACCATAATTGATAGCCTCGCCAAGTTATGTGCAGATTGTGCATAGCAAGCATAATGAGATACGGAGATGATCCTGCTGTATTATCATTTGGCTTAGTCTTTGGTGTCCTCATAGGTAGGTATGATCACAAATTTGGGACTGCCCCTCCAAAACTAGAGCTGTAGAGTAATGACTTTGTTTTCTTATTTCTTTCTCTACCTTCAAAATTAGTGAGTGCATGTGCCAGTCCCTCTGTGCAGCACATATATATATATATATATATATATATATATACACACACACACACAGGGGCGGACTGAGAACCCTCAGGGCCCCCAGGCAAAATAAATCAAGGGCCCCCTTACAGGCCCCACCCATACTCTGCAGCAAGCGCCACCCTTGTCCCGCCTCCATGCACCGCCTCCAGCCACACCCTACACAATCTTTAGACACAAGGAACAAAAGGGCAATAAGCCCTTCGAGGCCCCAGTAGAGACTACAATTGAGGGCTAATGGGCCATGGAGGGGGGTCTTTCTAGCGGAGGCTATCTCAGTGTCCTTTAGAGAGTGTGTTAGATAGAATCCCCTCCAAGCCCCATTAGAGACTACAATGGAGTCTAAAAGGCTTGGAAGGGGGTCTTTCTAACAGAGGCCATCTCAGCGTCCATTAGATATCCCCTGCTGGAAACAGTCGCCTCCAGGCCCCAGTAGAAACTACAATTGAGGGCTAATGGGCCATGGAGGGGATTTCTAGCAGAGGCTAGAGTCTAATGGGGCCTGGAGGGTGGTCTCTCCAACACTCTGGTTCCTATTCACAATATAGCAACACAACATAGCTCGCTGATACCTAAGCCAAGTTGGCTCCTCTTACCTTAATTACTGTTGCTGGCTGGCAGTCTGTGGGCTTGCTGGCTGCGGCTGGCAGGCTGTGGGCTTGCTGGCTACTGCCGGCAGGCTGTGGGCTTGCTGACTGCGGCTGGCAGGCTGCGGCTGGCAGGGCTTGCTGGCTGTAAGCCTGTGGCTTGCTGTAGGCCTGTGGGCTGGCTACTGGCCTGTGGGCTGGCTAACTGGCTGGCTACTGGCCAGCCTGTGGGTTGGCTGGCTGGCTACTGGGGCACTTGTAGATTATTTAAAGAAATAATCCATGCACAATAACCACTACTGCTCCAGAGTAAGTAGTCAAACCGTTTAAGAACAGTTTGACAACTTACCTGGGGTCTGCTGGGATATGAGGCTGTAGTAGGGAATAGGAGCAGTGGTGCAATGTGTGTGAAAGGTTCAGTGTGTGTGTGGGGGTGTAGTGTGTGAATGTGTAGGGTGTGTGGGCAGTGTATGTGTGTGGCAATGTTAGTATGGGGGGCTGTGTATGGGGGTCTGTGTGTATATGGGTGGGCAGTGTATGTGTGTGTGTGAGGCAATGTGTGTAAATGTGTATGGTGTGTATGGGGGCAGTGTGTGAATGTGTATGGTGTGTGTGTGGGGGCAGTGTGTTTATGGGGCTAGAGTTCACTCTCACCACTGCGACCACCAGGAATCCATGGGGGTTACAGTGTTGAGAGTGAACTCTAGCCCGTAGCTCCAGGGCTAGAGTTGACTCTCGCAAGAGCAGTAACGTTGCCATGGTAACCGCGGCAACGCTCTGTGCTCGCGCAAGAAGGACCCAGAGGAGCTGCAGGGTGAGCTCCCAGGTCCTCTCTTCCTCCCCTGCCCGCACGGTGCCTGCGGACAGGGGAGGGGGGGCATTCTTCCCTCTCTTTCTCCCCCCTCCCCCAACTCTCTATTCCCCCTCTTTCTCCCCGTGTCTCATTCTTCCCTCTCTGTCTCTTTCTCCCCCTGCCCATCTCTCTATTCCCCCTCTTTCTCCCCATGTCTCATTCTTCCCTCTCTGTCTCCCCCCTCCCCATCTCTTTATTCCCCCTGTGTCTCATTCTTCCCTCTCTGTCTCTTTCTCCCCCTCTCTCTATTCCCCCTCTTTCTCCCCGTGTCTCATTCTTCCCTCTCTGTCTCTGTCTCCCCCTGTGTCTCATTCTTCCCTCTCTTTCTCCCCATCTCTTTATTGCCCCCCTTTTCTCCCCCTTCCCCATCTCTATGTCCCCCCTCCCCATCTCTCTATTCCCCCTCTTTCTCCCCCCTCCCCATCTCTCTGTTCCCCCTCTCTCCCCCCTCCCCATCTCTGTCCCCCCTCTCCCCCCCCTCCCATCTCTCTGTCCCCCCGTCTTTCTCCCCCCTCCCCATCTCTATTGCCCCATCTTTCCTCCCCCCCACTCCCTGTCTCTCCCCCTCTTTCTCCCCCCCCTCCCCATCTCTCTATTCCCCCTCTTTCTCCCCCTCTCCATCTCTCCCCCCTCTTTCTCCCCCCTCCCATCTCTCCCCTCTTTCTCCCCCACTCCCCACCATCTCTCCCTCTTTCCCCCCTCCCATCTCCCCCTCTTTCTCCCCCCCTCCCACATCTCTCCCCCTCTCTTACTAAAGGTCAGAGGGCCGACCCGTTTCGATGCTGGGGCCTTGGTCGGCATTCCTCTCACTAACACTGAGGATGGAGGAGGAGGAGCATGTCTCTCTGTCATGCTCCTTTGCGGTTCCCACATCCTGTGCTGGGAATTGTGGGAACCGCAGGGAACATGACAGACACATGCTCCTCCTCCTTCTTCTTCAGTGTTAGTGAGAGGAATGCCGCCGGACCGGCAAGGCTGCCACCCGGTCCGGCGGCTGTAGCATTAAACGGCCGGCCCCCTCACAGTGTGCCACCGGGCCGGCCACCCGGTGGCACCTGCAGTCCCCAAATGCCGCCCCCAATCCAGCCATGCCGCCGGGCCCCCTGAAGGCGGCCCTGGCGGCGGGCCCCCCTGCCGGCCGGGCCCTCGGACCGTGTCCGAAGTGCCTGACCGGTCAGTCCGCCCCTGCACACACACACTTAAAGTTATTATACACATAAACATGTGCTGTTTATTGCAATGAAATCTGTGCACTTGAGTGATACCAAATGAACCAGCTGATACAAAAGGAGTTTCCACATTTTTATTATTAACATTGAGGATTTAGCAACATAATGTTCTGCTTTACAAACATGCAGTGATAATATATGAAAGTAAGTAATTAAAAAACAAAATAAGGGGGCGGAGCCGAGCTAGCAACAGGATTAGACGCATTCAGCATGGGCTCCCGCAGTTAGAGCCCTAATGCAGCAGATAACTTGGGATATAACGATGCAACTTACCTACAAACCGGCCCACGGGAACGGGGAAGCAGTCCCAAACATGCCGACACCACATTTAACACCCGGCGTGACCAGGACCCGCAGTTGCAGATTGAGGCCTACCGGGGGAAGGACGGCCGCCTTCCTGGCAAATGCCGCAAACAAGCACAAACCGCTCACCCCCCCATGGACCAGTGGGGGATATCCCGGTCCCCGCCAGGCAGAGAGCCCAGGGCCCCACACCGAACAACAGGCTCAGCAACTCTAAGCAATAAGGAGCCGCGGGCCTCCAAGATGGCGGACTCTCTGGTTCTGACAGTGCCAGATAAAAGACAGCATTATGGTAAAGAAGCAGGCACAGGGGAATATGCAAGAGGCTCTATCACAACAATATTTGACCGATTCTGGGCCATACTGCAGGCGCACTTATACCCTGAGGTGCTTCACCACCCACAGCCCAAAGGAGACAGAGCCGACGGTAGTCGGGTAATTGGGAACCCTCCTCAAGGCAAATCTAAGCCCTACGCTACAGGCCACAGCATCCGTGGCCCTCCCGGACTAAGGGCAGCAGGGGACACACCCCAGAGGTGCCAGCCACACCGGCGGAGAACAATGAAGCGACTCCTCACACAGAATGAGAAGACTCTCCGCTCCACCCCGAAAGGGTCGACCCTGGGCCACAACGGGTCCCAGGCTCGTGGCCTACGAGCACCAACCCCCACACAGTTACGGGGCAGGAGAGAGAACCCACCTACGAGACACCACGGCTCTACTCAGCAGAAGCGGACTCCCAGGGTTAACCACAAAAATGGAAACAAACAGATGACAAGTGATTGTTGGGCAGGCGGCGACACGGCTGTACTCCAGGAACGAGCTGGGCGCAGGTACTCCGCTGCAGACTGCACCTACCTAGTCGCCCAACTCCACGGACGACACCTACAGGGGAGCACTGGTCAGACAGCGCTGCTAATGGGGGTGCTCGACTCGACTGGGGACCAGTACTTGTCACAGAACAGCGGGAGAACACGTGGAGACACCACACTGGGCCAAAGAATGGACTATAAAGCAAAACACACCAGTGGCATCGGATGAATGGTTGCGGTTACCATCGTTCCAGCTGCCAGCCTAGTCTAGATGCAGGATTTGATGCATACCCATTCTGACATAAGCTGTTAAAAGCCTATTGGTACAAACGTTTTATTTTGAGTTACTCTAAGTTGCCAGTTTCAGAAGTCAGCAGCCACACATACATGTATACCCTGGTACTGCCCTTTACTCAGTCTTAAAATTGCCTTCCCATTACATTCAAATGACCAAGCTTGCAATGCGCCTACAGCTCCCTTTATATCACTCCTCTAATTAAACACACTTTAATACAAGAAAACCTGTCTGAACTTATAATCAGCCTGACACAAATGTACTGCTGTATGCACCTTTAGCCACCAATGTTACCCTCCCGCGTGACGCTCATTACCTATGTATCACACTATTAAGTACAATCTTGAGCCAGTAAACACCACACTGTACTGTCGGATTACAACAGATCCCACTACGCAAAGCCAAGACTAATCATTATTTGTACCCATATCATTAAGTTTCCACATGATCATCATCTTAACTATTAAAAATGTGCACATACTCTTGTATACCCCATTGGTATATTTGTTGAAAATCAACGTGAGGAATGCCGTTGGGGTACCTTACGCTTGTTGTTATATTTTTTATGCACAGCTACACGGCGGCGCAGAGTGGTTGGCTGCATGCAGAGCAAGCCAGCCTCTCCCCCTTCTCTGCTGCTTGCAGTGCCAGAGGAGCGCATGGCTTGCTTGAGTAGAGAAGATCATGCAGGGCTGGACTGGAAGACGACTTGAGGTAGGGAAAGAGGGGCTTGGGGGAACATTCCTGTAGTGTATTAAATTGGGTGGGTGCAGTGTATTAGAGTGGTGGGAGAGGGTAGTGGGATAAATTAGGTGAAGGGAGGGCAGTGTATTAAATTGGGGAGGGAGCAGTGTATTAGAGTGGTGGGAGCGAGGGGGCAGCGTATTAAATTAGAGTGGAGGGAGGTGGGGCAGGGTATTAGAGTCAGGGGGCAGTGTATTAGAGTGGGGAGAGGGGTAGTGTGTTAAATTAGGGGAAGGCAGGGCAGTGTATTAAATTGGGGAGGGAGCAGTGTATTAGAGTGGTGGGAGGGAGGGGGCAGCATATTCAATTATTAGAGTGGTGGGGCTGGGCCACGGGAGGCTATGTATTAGATTGGAGGTTAGTAAGTAACTTGACGTGAAGGTTTTGAGTGAATTGTATATATGTACCCAGGATTACATATTGTTTACTTGAGAAAGATACAAGTAATTTTAGTTTGTGTTGGCTCCAGATGTTGTGGACTACATCCCCCATAATGCTCTTACACCCATAATGCTGACAAAGAATCATGGGAGGTGTAGTCCAAAACATCTGGAGTGCCGAAGGTTGCCTATGCCTGGTCTAGGTCAAACTCTTTTATCTATTTTTTTGTGGCCCACGTAAACTTAAACCTTGATTATTTGGCCCGTGTTAGTCTTTGAGTTTGACATGCTTGGACTACACATATGTTCAGTGGTGCGGAAGTGCATTACCGGAGTGGTACTAGTAACCAAATCAAATTAGCCAAAGCCTTCTATGTACAAATAGAGCCACATGTTGATAGGACTTTAAAACTATAAGTTGGTGGGAAAGACTTTTACTAATCCGTATAATACCAGATATTGCATTTATAATATTTTTATATATAATTCCAGATGGTTGGTGCAAGTGGTTACTCCATGCAGAACAGTCACTTCAAACCTGTTGTTTATTATAATAATCCTTTCATCGACAATTGAAAGCAAATAGATTTTTTTAAAAAAATGACTACCTTTTAACTTAATTTAGAAACATAGAATGTGACGGCACATAAGAACCATTCGGCCCATCTAGTCTGCCCAATTTTCTAAATACTTTCATTAGTCCCTGACCTTATCTTATAGTCAGGATAGCCTTATGCCTATCCCACGCATGCTTAAACTCCTTTACTGTGTTAACCTCTACCACTTCAGCTGGAATGCTATTCCATGCATCCACTACCCTCTCAGTAAAGTAATACTTCCTGATATTATTTTTAAACCTTTGTCCCTCTGATTTAAGATTATGTCCTCTTGTTGTTGTAGTTTTTCTGCTTTTAAATATAGTCTCCTCCTTTACTGTGTTGATACCCTTTATGTATTTAAATGTTTCTATCATATCCCCCCTGTCTCGTCTTTCCTCCAAGCTATACATGTTAAGATCCTTTAACCTTTCCTGGTAAGTTTTATCCCGCAATCCTTGAACCAGTTTAGTAGCCCTTCTCTAAACCCTCTCTAAGGTATCAATATCCTTCTGAAGATACGGTCTCCAGTACTGTGTACAATACTCCAAGTGAGGTCTCACCAGTGTTCTGTACAATGGCATGAGCACTTCCCTCTTTCTACTGCTAATACCTCTCCCTATACAACCAAGCATTCTGCTAGCATTTCCTGCTGCTCTATTACATTGTCTGCTTACCTTTAAGTCGTCAGAAATAATCACCCCTAAATCCTGCAGCGCATGCGCATTTAGCCGAAGAGGAGGATCGGAGGCGGAGAGGAGGAGGAGAGCTCCCCGCCCAGCACTGGAAAAATGGTAAGTTTAACCCCTTTCCTTGTCATCCAGCCCAGCGGGAGGGGGTCCCTGAGGGTGGGGGCACCCTCAGGGCACTATAGTGCCAGGAAAACGAGTATGTTTTCCTGGCACTATAGTGGTCCTTTAATGGTTTTGCTAGTACACCACTAAGCTCTTTTAATAGCTACTGTGTAAGTCTCACTCTTTTATTTTACATTATAAACTGTGCTGAATTACCTGTTAATTGTTAAGCATCACTATATAGTATAGCTTGTTGTTCCTAGTTCGACTTTCATGTTTAATTTACCTAAAAAAATGAGACAGATTATCCAGGAGTATACATGCCAACTGCATTTTTAACAACTTACCATATGCACTAACTCCTTTACTTTTTTGCATTCTGTACTGTATTATGCATTGTGCCAATAAAAGAAAGAATCAATGCTTTCTTATGGGGCTTCTGTGTCACGTAACCGATTTACTCAATCAATGCAGCAGAAGCTCTGTCATATTGACAGCCACTAGATGTGGATTTAACCCTGTAATGTAAACATTGTGGTTTCTAAAAAAACTCCAGTGGTTTACACTGCAGGGTTAAAAGGACAGGGATAGTGCACCCAGACTACTTTATTGAGATGAAGTGGTCTGGGTGACTATAGTGTCAGTTAAAGAGAAATCTAGTACCCATTCGTTCAAATAATTAGTTTTCATATCAACTAACGCTAAGAGCAATGTAGCATAGAGCTAACATTTAAGTTATTCTATATATTTCTGTACAAAAATGTCTGAACACATAGGATTTGTACCCTGGACACTTGTGAGTAGTCGGGCAATAGTCAAATCTCATTGTGATTGTATTTGGGGGAATTAATTGCGGTACATGGCCCTATACATTGGTTGTCATTAAGTGTGTTGGTGATGGTGATATATAAAGTGTGGCCCTCACAATGGGGTTAAGTACGCATAATACGAAGGGGGAAGGGGTGTAGTTTTTTCTGATTTGAGAGAATCTGTAGTTGAAAGAGGTGATCATGGAGGTATTGGTCATGTGTTTTTCGCTAGAAAAGCATGCATCAGGGGTGGTTTTTTTGTTTGTTTGTTTTTTTAATGGGACACCCAAACCACTTCATCTCAATGAAGTGGTCTTTGTACCAGGTCCCCCAGGTTTTAACCCTTCAAGTGTAAACATAGTTTCAGAGAAACTGCTATGTTTACATTTGGGGTTAATACAGCCGCTAGAGGCGCTTCTGCAACGAGTTTGTTTTCCTGACACTATAGTGATCCTTTAACTTGTCCAAGGGACTAATGCGATAGCCCAATATGCTTGTCCATCATGACAACCCACTCACCCTGACACAAAATCATTTCAATTATGAATATTGGGGCTCCTACCAAGTACTCTTGGCATTGACAGAGCTATTTGGCTAAACTCTAAATTTTCCAAAAAATTAAATCTGAATGTAAAAAAGGGAGGCAAAAATATCTGATTGGGAACAATTCTCTTAACTCTGCTATAGTCACAACGTGGCTATTTATGCCTTTGTTTTGTCATTTTAATTTATTTTTAAAAATGTAAAGTTTTGTAAATTACCACGAGTGTCTCACCCTCTACCCTCCTCCACTCCCTCTCTTTGTCCTAATGTGTGGTAGGTGCTGACTGTGTGAAGAGTGAATGCTGGATGTGCTTAGTGTGTGCTGGTTGTGTGTGATGTGTGCTGGCTGTATGTTAAGTGTGGTGTGTGCTTGCTGTATGTATTGTGTGTTGGCTATGCGTGTGTGTGTGTGTGTGTGGTATATGTGAAGTGTGAGTAATTTAAATTAAAAAAAACAAAAAACAACTTCCTGTCTGCCACCCGCATGTTCCAGGCCTTGGCCGATCTAAATTCCTCCCCCCAATGCTTGTTAAAATGGCTTCTAACGTAGGCTATGTGAGCCAACAAGATAGATTTATTGTATTAATGAAGTAAAAAAAGAGGTGGTCTAGGGGGAATTTTTGGAAGATGTTTGGGCTTTGTCGGGTAGTCAAGTAGGTCACATAGGAAATTTTTGGTATCTGCAGTCAGAAGCTGGACCTTAAAATTTATACTTATAATCTGTCATACTACCAGCTGCCCGCTGGAAGTAGATTTGTGAACAGCTTGTTCATGGATATCTGTAGAGTGTTTAGCATTCTTTGAACCATGCAATCTACATGTGGAGGGTCCATTGCCAGAGAGCTTGTAATAAATCACTCTAAAAGTTCTAATCTCGGCTTTGAAAAGCAGACAACGCTATTTTGGAAGGGGAAAATTTTTAAAAAAAGGCAAACAAAGAAGGGCAAATAATAATAGAATGATTAGATAGCAGAAAAAGGAACTGTTGTGATATAAATATAGTGCAAATGTTTAGATACATACAGCATCTAATATATATAATTAAAGCAAACCTTATATATAACCCAT